ATTTTTTATTTGCCTAGGCGGAAGTCTAAGATTGATTTTCTCATAAGTTATTTTTCATTTTATTTGATACTGTGTATGTTTATAAATTAAGGCTTTAAGGAGATCAATATAATATCAATAGAGATCAATAGAACACATTAGGGAGCAACATAAAGGTGCGAAATGTGACAGCGATGGCTAATTTGCCTGACCAGCGTGGCGATCATTGCAAATCCTTCTTACAACGGAAAATGCTCTAAATGTCCCTCTACTAAAGAAGTTTTTTATGGATTATTTTTTGTGGTCTATTATATTTCTAGGTTGTATTTCTAGTTGTCTATCGTTTGTCTGTATATTGACAATATGTAAAATATGAACTTTTCAAGGAAAGGAAATGTGGCATTCAACGTTTTTCAATTCCCAGTAAGATTCGATATTTACAGAAATGTCAGAGCAACCTCATTTTCACCGTGATACGTTTGAAAGCTCTACTTCATTATGTATTTGTAAATATATGTTTACCTTCAAAGCGCCTGTGGTTCAACATAGCGTAGTGAATTTTTCCACTTGCTTAGTTCATTTAACTTATTAAGTGTTATCTATTGTTGATAATACTTTAGTGTTTGAGCGTGACGGTGTTTATAATTATTATAAAACCGTTACTTATTGTGGATATTCGACACCAGTCCATTGATATACTTGTCCAGAGTTGCCAAACAAATATGTCTATAGAAATTATAAGTTTCTATTTTAAGTTAAATAAAATCTTAAACTTCAAATGAAAAATCCACCAACTGTTGTGATACTTCATACGTGGTAGAGCCATGCTGCAGCTATATTAGTAGTATAGTTGTAGCACGAATGGGTCGATTCGACCGGGGAAGGACCACGCTCTCACAGAGTACCAGCGTAAAATAGCAGCTTAACACTGCTGTGTTTCGTTTGGTGAGTGTAGAGAACCGGAGACCCATTTTACTGGATAAAGGCATTCTTCTCATCTTAGTCCTCATAAGTGACGACGCATCTGCATTTTGATTCTTTATTGAGGATAAATGTAGATTTCTATGGGTCACAGCAACCACTTATACACATACGTGTGCTCGTTTGTCACCCTATCCTATAAAATAATACTAGAATATGATGTAATTATTATTTATTAATTGTGTAGTCAACTACCCAATTCCTGCTTATTATATAAGAATTAATATAAGAAGTGGTTCAGTCGTAGTTTGTCTACAGCCTTATGTTGTTGGGTGGCGGATTAATATCATTTAAGCACTTCACTTACACGTAAACATATCAAGGAAGCAAAAATATTTTTGGCTACCTAAAGCACTACATCAACTTATATAATTTAGTTTTCCGAATATAGAGCTATAACTATAGTAGAACTCTACCTTACCCACTTTATCACAGACATCTACATCTATCCTCAATAAAGACTCAAGATGCAGATACGTTGTCACCCGTGAGGACTAAGATGAAATGCCTCTTTGCCAGTAAAAAGGGTCTCCGGTTCTCAACACTCACCATACGAAACAGCAGCGTTAAGCTGCTATTTTACGCTGGTTTTCTGTGAGAGCGTGGTCCTTCCACGGTCGAGCCGACCCATTCGTGCTACAACCATAATATAGCTGCAGCATGGCTCTACCACGTAGAAACTGTAGAAACTGTGACTGTTGAATGAGCAATGTTTTAAGAGGATATATTGGAAAAATACTTTTGTACGATATGAATAAAAGATTCACAGGGGTAAACTTAACTTTGCATAATAATGTAACTAGTTTCTAGGTATAAAGAGGGTAAGCCGCTGGATCAATCATCTCGTTAAAATGTATGTTACGACGACATTAAAAAGAGTAGAGGGTAGAGGTAATAGAGTCTTTGACCAGACAAAGCATATAGCACCATTATTACCATAATATAATTATTGCAATAATATTAACTACCCGTCACGTTCGGCAGTTTAGTCGGGGTTACAACACAAACGGTAGAATCGCGAATGTGTTATCAGCAGCGGATGCATAGAGCGGAAGAACGACGGCCGCCGCGACGAGTATCGCGAGGCGACCATCACGTGACCCTTTACATTTACGCAGAATATGCTTAAAAATATAACGACTGTACGTAAAAGAAAAATATCGTGTACTTTCTCTCTTTAATTTGCAAACGATACTTACTTAAAAAAATGATATTGAAGTTTTCGAAACGTAGCATATCGGTAGATGTCTGCTAATTAGATATGTGTCGGGCATGACAGGAATAGTTCGATTACATCATCATCATCATCATCATCATTTTAGGCCATCACAGGCCCTGAGCCCGCTGCCTGCATCGACTTTCTGCATCTCCTCCCAGGTCGTCACTCCCATCTAGTGTTCGAATAAATAAGACATAATTTTTTCTTTATAGCTTCGTTAATTTTTGATTTACAAATATCGCTCGTAGTTTTAATATAGTAAATTAGTACGGTTCTAAGTAGGAGGAGAATGGTGCGATGGCATAATGACCATAACAAAAAAGCGCATCCGAACGAAACGGGTCGTTATTTTTGTTGCTTAGTGCTTGTTTCGGAGAATAGGCACGAGCGGCAAGCGGGCGGGAGCGGTCGTCGGCTCGCACAGTGCCGTACTCGGGTAACATGTTTAATGTTCTCATAATATAATGTTGTTCGTCATAAAAAGAATATCTTAATTTCAGAAGGAATTAGTGGCACAGGTGTTTGGAACAAAAATATTAGATTAGCCTTATTTTCTACATTTTTATGTGTGAAAGTATTTTTATAGGCACCAAACTTTCTTAATATTTATATAGAATTTTAAAACAAAACTAAAGTAGCAGTACATTACTGTACATTATTATTATTAAGATCCAACATAAACGTTGCTATGGTATTTATTAATATTATGTTAACATATGTTGCGCTATAACGTAACATATTATAACAAGGTACAGCACACGGTATAGATTCGAATATATATATTATTATTGCCCTCATAGCACCGATGGTCGTCCTGGAAAGTGTACATTTTTGCTACACATTTACTATGAATGATATTACAAGATCTTAATAGGTACTATGATATCGATTCATCGTGCATAATATTATCGGATTTAATTGAAGATTCTACAGAGGACGCTTGTCAGGAATAAAACAAGAGCTCGATGGTTCTAGATCGAATTTATATTATGATCTATCTAGAATGACATTGGTTGGTATTTATGGCGCTTTATGAATTGATCAAAGACGATATAATAAAACGTTAAAAGTATGAGTACTCAAAAAAAAAATGGATCGCTCTGTATCGCAATAGGAATATGTGTAAAGATATCGTAATATAGCTTAATGTCTATTTCTCCTATTTCAATGTAGGTTAATATCGGAATATGTTTAAAATCTTTAATAATTATATTGACTCTCCTGACTTATTTAGTAAAATTACATTAAAGTGTCTTTAATCAGCGGCTTAATTTAAAACTACCTTTTACATTCCCGTTTCTCAGACTAAATATGGAAGAAATTGATAATTTTAGAGCCTGTAATTTCTATAAGCAACGTTATATTATTTTTAACATATTTAAGTTGAAGATTTTTAAATTGTACATCTGCCATCAAGCTACCCTAGGTTTAATCATTATCTTTCAATGTCCGACTGTTTAAACATTACTTTTATTTTTTTTTCTTCAGGACACCAAACAATTGTGTAATAACACAATATAGATACAGGTCTTATGAAAAGGAAAATCAAGTAATTACACAACCAGTACCGTTATCCACAAAGTAATATCACAATAAGAGTAATATTATGTTCCAAAGCAAATATGTTGTATCAGTAGCGCAAGTAGATAAATAATTCGAGATTACCGTGAGCAACCCAGCTTCTATAGTAGCTATGCTAGTCAAAACTTACTTCGAGAAACAACAGTTATACCTATATTAATCTGTTTAAATTATGAGGCAATACATTACTTAATAGTACATTTTTTTAAATAACGCTTTTTAAACATTACATATGATAACCAATATATGATAAGCAAAACTGTCGAGATCAGTAAAGTTATCATTATATGATTTCATGAAACACCGTAATGGAGTTCGCTCTCCCGCCTTTGTACGGCACATTTTAGGAGCAAATAAGGTATGAACCGACTAGGTATGCGTATACTGTATCTAATTTATTATGACAGATTTTGTATAAGAATAATTGATCAAAATATAATCTTCTCATTTTTATAGTGGAAATTGAGAATTTATCTAAAAGAGTGAGATCTGATGACCATTTCCTAAAGCATTTATAGTTTAAAAACCGAAGATATTTACGTTGTACCGATTCCAACTGATCACTATATTTTTCATAATTTTTTAAATTACCTTAATATGACATAATAAAAAATGTATTTCTGCCCAATGATCAAGTATGTAACTGGATTTTGTAATAAATTAACTTAAACATTAAAATTATGTATTATTATAGCTGTATGTGTTCCTTAAATATATATATATATATATATATATATATATTATTTTAGAAAAAAAATATTCAAAGATTATTATCGACAACCAAAATACATCGTATTATGTATTGTTATAACTTATATCAATATAATATATTATAGCTTCGTGGGTGACGACCTTTAATGAAATATACAATTGTAGGTATGTATATTATTAAAGTATTCAGGCAAATTTAATTGTTGTGTTTCAAAGCTTTTTATGGTTTTTTATTCTTTTGTTGAAAATTATTTCTTAGTAAACGTTAATATCACTGTATAATATAATTAACCATTAAATACCCCATTATTTATATGGTCATATATTTATATATTTCGTACATACTTTACTCAGACAGACAGACGTAATATCACATTGATGAAGATTGATAGAGCTTTGAAGCGCTAATGCGGACCTGTTTCTGTGGGTCGGAGAGCGGGCCAAGGGGGGCGAGGCGGCGCGAGAGTGCGGTTCGAGGCGGCCCCATACCCAGTGCAGTGAGCGGCGCGTGGAGAACCAACATCGCGCTATGGCTCTACGCGTATTATTCGTGACCGCCGCGCTCGTCGCCGGCGGCGATGCTGTATATAGTCGCGAGCGAGATCGACTGCGTGCTGACCCCCGCTTACTTGACCGTGCTTGTGAATTAAGCTCCTGTTACCCTGCTACCGGTAACCTACTTATCGGACGCGAATCCCGACTCTCCGCAACATCCACGTGTGGTTTACATGGACGCGAACGATACTGCATTGTATCGTATCTCGACGACAGACTCAGAAAAGAAAGGGAAACATGCTTCACTTGCGACTCAACGAACAAAACGATTCACAAACCCGATGAAAATCATCGAATACAGAACATTATTTATAAATTTTATCCTGGCACAAGATACAGATCATGGTGGCAATCCGAAAATGGAAAAGAAAATGTTTCAATTCGACTAGATATGGAAGCGGAATTTCACCTTACCCATTTAATAATTCAATTTAAAACTTTTCGTCCCGCTGCAATGTTGGTGGAGCGGTCTTTCGACTTTGGTAAGACATGGCGTGTTTATAGATATTTCGCACACAACTGCGCCGAATCCTTCCCGTTAGTCCCTAGACATTCACAGCGAAGCTTAACAGAAGTTGTATGTGATTCTCGTTATTCAGGTGTCTCTCCTTCTACTGAGGGAGAAGTGATATTTAGAGTGTTACCGTCGAATATAAATGTGACAAATCCCTATTCGGAAGAAGTGCAAAGTTTGTTGCGAATGACCAATCTTAGAATTAACTTTACAAAGTTGCATACACTAGGCGATGATCACCTCGATAACAGAGCGGAAATAAAGTTTAAATATTATTATGCCATTTATGAAATGACAGTGCGCGGATCATGTTCCTGTTACGGCCATGCATCGCGATGTTTGCCTATGCCTGGAGTGGAATCGAAAAATAATATGGTACATGGTCGCTGTGAATGCACACATAACACCAGAGGATTAAATTGTGAGTACTGTGAAGATTTTTACAACGATTTACCTTGGCAACCAGCTATTGGAAGAACTTCTAATGCTTGTAAAAGATGTACATGTAATAATCACGCAACAACATGCCACTTTGATCCAGCAGTTTATAACAAAACTGGAAAAATAAGTGGTGGTGTATGTGACAATTGTCAACACAATACAATGGGTGTTAATTGTGAACGATGTCGACCTACATTTTACAAGGACCCTAGTTTAGACATCCAAAGTCCAGACATATGTAAACCATGCGATTGCGACCCAGAAGGTACAACAGACAGGGAAGTTTTGTGTGATGATGAGACAGATCCTGTAAATAATAAAACTGCCGGTCGTTGTATGTGTAAAGCTAATATCGACGGAGCAAGATGTGATAGATGCAAAGATGGCTATTGGAATTTCGACCCTCTTAACCCTGAAGGTTGTGAAGCATGCACTTGTAATAGTTTAGGCACAATCAACGAAAGGGGCTGCGATGCCGCAACAGGTAACTGCTTCTGTAAACGTCACGTCACTGGAAGAAATTGTGATCAGTGCCTTCCAGAATTTTATGGTCTTTCGGATAGTGACGACGGTTGCCTACCGTGTGATTGTGATGTTGGTGGTTCAATAGATAGGGATTGTGATGTGATAACAGGCCAATGCAAATGTCGTCCAAACGTTACCGGTCGCCGATGTGATACACCAATACAAAACTTTTTTGTTGGTGCCCTTGATGCTATTGTTGTTGAAGCTGAGTCAAGCCAGTGTGATTCTCAAATAGACGATAACGCAATTCAAAGTCAGCTGTGTCACGTTGTAATACGAGAAAACTTCCCGGATGGCCGAAAAGAAACATGGACTGGTCCAGGTTTCATGAAAATACCGGAAAGTAGTACGCTAGTTTTTAAGATAAATAATTTAAAAACAAGTATGAATTATAATGTTTTAATTAGATACGAACCCCAGACCCCCATGAATTGGGAAGAGGCCACAATATTTGTAAGAAGACCTGTGCCTGTAGATACTGACTCACCGTGTGCAAATATACGCCCCGAAGATGACACTATCAATACATATTTACCAGCAACTCAACGTAGCGTTCTTGTCAAACCACCTCTATGCTTAGAAAAGAATAAAGAAACTGAAATTCGTATATACTTAGGACGTCAAGATGGCCGCTCCTCCAACTCTAGAGCATCTATTTTGATTGACTCAATCGCTCTGATACCATCTATTGACGATTTGCCTTTCTTAGCAAATGGAAGTTACATGAGAGATGAATTTGAACGTTTCAACTGTGGTGATTCATATTATTATGATCTTAATAGAGAAAATATTCCTGAGGTTTGCAAAAAGTACCATGCCAGTATAGGATTTTACATAAGAAACGGTTCAGAGTCATGTCAATGTGATCCAACGGGTTCTAAAAGTCACCAATGTGATCCGTATACTGGACATTGTCAGTGCGTGGAAAATATTGTTGGCGCTAGATGTGATCGCTGCGCTCCTGGTACATACGGATTTAGTAAGTTTGGATGCAAGCGCTGTGATTGTAACAGTATTGGATCGCTTGATAATTTCTGTGATGCTACAAGTGGACAATGTAAATGTAGGGCGAACACTTACGGTCGGGCATGTGATTTATGTCAACCTGGCTATTTCAATTTTCCAAATTGTCAACAATGTGATTGCAATGGTCACGCAGTTGAATGCGACGATAAGACTGGTGCTTGCAAAGAATGTAGAGATTATACCGAAGGTCACCGGTGCGAAAGATGTATTGATGGATATTATGGTGATCCAAGACTTGGTGTCGATATTCCCTGCCGACCATGTCCTTGCCCTGGTGTTACAGGTGATCCAAACAAGGGTAGTCATGCTGACCGCTGTGAGCTAGATCCTGAAACAAAAGATGTAGTTTGTGATTGTAAAGAAGGTTACGCCGGACTTCTATGTGATGTATGTGCCGACAACTATTATGGCGATCCTGTCAAAGGAACCTGTGATAAATGTGAGTGCAATGAAAACATCGATATTACAAAACCCGGAAACTGTGACCCATATACTGGAGTATGCTTACAGTGCTTACACAATACAGCTGGTGACCATTGTGAACTTTGTCAAGATGGATACTATGGTAACGCAATAGAAAAAGCATGTTATAAATGTAACTGCTCAGAACTAGGAACAAACTTTACCCAGGGTAACTGTGATGGCATAACAGGACAGTGTCCTTGCTACAAAAACGTTATGGGAATAAATTGTGATCAATGTACGGAAAACCATTGGAGAATAGCTCTGGGCACGGGCTGTGATCCATGTGAATGTGATCCTATTGGATCATTGTCTCCACAGTGTAACCCGTATATAGGTAAATGTGACTGTAAGCCAGGGCATGGTGGAAGGCAATGCGATCAGTGTCAAGAAAATCACTGGGGTAATCCAAATATAGAATGTCATGAGTGTGAATGTGACTTATATGGGTCTGTATCGCAACAATGCATGCGAGAAAATGGGTCATGTATATGCAAGGCAGGTATTGGCGGATATAAATGTGACGTTTGCGCCCGCGGATATCTTGGTGATGCTCCTCGATGTTATGCTTGTGGTGAATGTTTTGACAACTGGGATCGAATAATTGGAGACTTACGTATTCAGACAGAATACGCTATTGGCAATGCTAGTAAGATAAAAATTGTTGGAGCAACAGGAGCGTACACAAGGGATTTTGAAGAAATGACTAAAAAACTATCTGATGTAGAAAATACTCTTAAAAGTGCTAAACAGGGACAAAGTACAGTTAAAGATCTGTTATCAAATATCACTAGTCTACAAAGTCAATTAACCCAAGCTGAGAAAAAAGTGAAAGAAAGCAACGATAATCTAAATGATATCACATCTAAAATTAATTTAGGTAATGTGACTTTGGATGGCCTTAGGTCCAGCATTGAACAACTTAAAACCAAAACAAATGATTTAAGTAATAACGCAACGAAATTACAAGAAGCTAATTTAGAGGGAGCTTTGAACTTGACACGTGAAGCCAAGCAAAGAGCTTCTAAAGCAGCGGATGAGGCAGAAAGTGTGCAAACAATTATTGCTGATACGGATCGACAAATAAAAAATACTGACAGATTAATAGAACTTCAGTATTCAAACTTCAATAATACTCAAAGTGAAAATGACAAAAAACTTGATGATTTACAAGAACAGCTTCTAGAATTGGAGTCACAAATACCTAAAATTAATGAAAAAATGTGTGGACAAGAAAGTGATACTTGCGATATTTGTGGTGGAGCAGGATGTGGAAAATGTGGCGGTATATCATGTGATCAAGGTGCAATAACTAAAGCAGAACAAGCACTTGATTTTGCCAATAAAACCGAACATAGAATAAAAGATCATGAACTTACGGCTGAAGACATGTTTAGATCAATATCTCAAGTGAAACAAGATACAGTTGCAGTGCGATCTCGAGGCAAAGACTTACTAAATAGAGCTAAGGATTTTAAATTATCAGTTGAAAGAGTCACTAACGATAGTCAAGAATTGACATCAGAATTAAAAGAATTTTTGTCAAACACTTCTAATACTCCAGCGGACGTGAGAACTTTGGCCAACGATATCTTGAATTTATCTATACGAATTGAACCTAAAGAAATCACTGAATTATCACAACGTATTAATTCTACTGTTTCACAGCTTACCAACATCGAAAATATTATAACGGAAACAAAACCTGATCTAGAAAGAGCAAAAGCTCTTAAACAAAACGCTACTGCCGTCAGTAGTGCTGCTAATTTGACTCTTGAAATGGCTAATAAAGTTTTAGAAGCATTGGATGAGGCTCAAGCAGCACAGGATGCAGCCGAAAATGCAATTGAGAAAGCAAATAGTGACATTGAAGCAGCTAAAAGTGATTTGATTCCAATAGCATCTGAAACCGAACAAGCTCAAAAGAAAGCTAACGAGACCATGGACGAAGTAGAAGGGCTTCGTTTACGGTTATCAGATTTACAGAAAAATATTTTAAAGATTGAAAGTGACGCTGAACAAGTGAAAGAAGAGGCTAATGATGTCGTTAATCGAGCTGAAGTGGCTGAGCAAAAAGCCAGGCAACTTAGGCAGGACTTTAAACAAACGAATATGTCTCTTGCAGAACGTGCAAGTCAAACATTGAATTCTAGAGAAAGGGCACAGTTGTTATTAAACCGAGCTACCAAACTTGCTAGTGACACTCAAATGCAATTAAAGCTATTAGCTAATATGGAAGAATTATATAACGATCATAATGAGCAACTTAACTCATTAGAGAAAGGAATCGGCGACCTCAATACACAAATGAATTATTACTTGTCCGAAATCACAAAGCGATCAGATTACTACAGGTCTTGCACTACGTAAAATTGTTTTCTAGTATATACTTATTAATCTATTTTAGATATTCAGCGTTTATGGTTTTCATTAGCTCTAAATTTATTAAAGAGCTAGTTTTTGTGTGCCATGTTGTTATAAAGTAATATGTTTCTTATTTTCTTTTGAAATAATTACTTGATACATTTTAACAAAAGATAGTTTAATGTTTTAAGCCATTTGATTTCTGAATTGTAATAACATGTTTATGTTTGTAAAGTTAAAGTTAAAGATAAGGTTTTGTCACATTGCATTATTATTATAACTGTAATAGTGGTCTTTTTTGGTGGTATTTTTTTAAATATGTACCTACTCTGTTTGTTACAATATATTTACATATTTTGTGATGTAATATTACTTTCCAAAATATTGTGTTGATTTAAAATGAAATATTGATGGATTTTTAAACGTACTTGTTAATCTACACGTAGATGATAGATCGTACAAATTTCAATAGGTAAGTTGTTTCTAGTTCAAGAATAGTAGCTAAGCTTTATTATAATTCGTTGTATCGGTTAGATCCTAAATGCATTTATATCTATCAACTTTAAGGCTTAAAAACTGTTTCCATGAAAACTTATTCCAAAGAATTTTATATACCTAGTTCTATTATAGAGATATTATTTGTTTCTACGTATTATTTAAGTTTAGGTGACAATGTCACGTAGCTTCTTATTTTTTCATTGCATTGCATTTCACATTCTTGTAAATTTATTATTCTTGCCCTAATGCTATAACTAAAAAATATTTTGTGTTGTAAAGGTCTGTACCGTGTAAAGGTTTATTGTTCATTGTATTTATCTTTTTATACAAACACATGAACGTAATGATCTGTAAATTTTATTTAAAATGTACTTGAACTGTATAATTAAGATGTGTGGTGATATTAAGTGAAGTAAGTTTGACACATTGTAGCTACATAACCCACATGATTCACTAGTTTTGTAATGTGATATTCAAGTGTTCATTGTAGAGGCATATATACTTAACTATATAAAATATAGATTATAATTAAAACTGTCCATCCTTGAAAAAAGTTGTTGTTATTTTATGTGCTACTTGATAAATTTTTAATATTTATTCAAATTCACCTTCTTCATTCTCAGGCGGTAAAGTCTAGCTATAGAACTCTCCGTTTGTAAGGTTTTATTTGACATTAGAATTGGCGATCGCAATAACAATTTTAAGTCTGCTACCCGTTTCCGATCTGAGTACGCTATACGTTTGGCGTAAACAAAATGGTTATAGGTATACGCCATTTATCTAAAGCCGTGAAAACTTTCTCGGGGCGAAATGAGGTGATAGATTCTCTTTTTTTATAGTAGAGGGGGCAAACGAGCATGCGGCTCACCTGATGGTAAGTGACTACCGCCGCCCATGAACAACCGCAACACCAGGGGAATTGCCACTCTTCCGCCGCCATCACGCAAATTAATTAAAATTCTTGAAATAACTAAAGAAATATTTATATACTTTAATTATAATCTAAAATTTTTTGCATATGTAAAAATAATCTCTTTAATCAGTTGTTGTATTACATGTCTTACGTGCATTAGAAAAAACACTTAGTTTTGACAATTATTTTTTCATTAAATAATTATAATGTCACCTTAAAGATGAATATAATATCAATGAAACATGTTGACACCAATGGTAGTCTCTACATATAAATAATTTAAGTGTCTGTCTGTAATATCGAAATAACTGCTGTTTAGGCTTAGAGTTTATTTGCATGCCATTAAGACAAACAACCGTTTTTTAAATTTTTGTCGTTCTCTCTGTCTGTCTATCCGAGCTTATATTCGAAATGGCTGAACCGACGAGTGATGAAATTTTATGAACAGGTATAGAACAATGCCAGAGCGGGTGTCTTCTGTAACAATTTTCAAATATTATGAACAATCTCTTATAAGCTTGTTAAATACTTTAGTTGCCTTGTCTTTTTGGGGTAAATACCTAATACCTATATAATATAACATATGAATGTGAATGTTTTTTTTTTCCACAAAAACATTGATTTTTAGTGTACATAGAAAAAAAGGTACCGGTAAAATTGAAAGATTTTAAATAACAAATTACAGATTCATTAAATTCACCCTATTGTAACGCTCTTATATATTTTTTTACTGTAAAAGGTTTGTCGGCACAAACGGAGTTCTCTCAAATAATCAATCCATACCTGAGAGTAACGATACAAATCCATGACAGGCAATAACAGTTGTTTCTATAAAAGTTATGAATTTTTAAAGTATCAAATTTAAAAAAAATATTATCTTGTTTAATAATTAATTTCATAATATGACCGTTCCAATTAACTTTGCCAAAAATTAGTAAGAATTAATTATTTTCAACATTTATTTGTAGACCGTTAATTTCCATCAAATTTATTGCATTTTTAAACTTTTTCGTTAGTATTCGTTTCATTTCATTTTAACCGACTACAAAAAAGGAGGAGGTTTTCAACTCTGATATTTATATTTTTTTATGTATGTTCGGTAATAAGTCCGTCATATATAGAAGGATTTGCAAAATTCTTTTTTACTTTTGATCACTAATCAACATCACCAGCGAATAATATGCAGTCGTTTATATGCAGAAAAAAGTAATGGAGCAGTGGCCGTTCCTTCTAGCGTACCGAAATTGTTGTTTATTTAGCTCAGATTTGAAGTCACTTTCATGTGACTTATAGTTTGATCAGATACTGTACGTTGTATGCGATTGATATATTAGCTGTTATACAGTCACACTGTCAGATAATTTCCCCACTTCGCGGCTGCCACTCACACTTCCCTAGTTTCCGTTATTAGAAAAAGAAAAGTTGCCTCTTATGACATCCGCGGGACGACATGGGGTAGGGTAGTGGATAATCTTACACTTTTTCCTTTTTATTTTAGTTCTTACAGTAACATAATATTATATTGCCCCATAAATTTCACAATTTTGACAATCTTTATGTATGTTAGATTCAAAACTCATAACTGGCCAAAACCACTTTTAACTGCAAAAATTTTGGGTAACAGAGATTATGACCAAATTATATCGGTTAAAAGTGGTGTTGACAAAGAAAGTTAGTCAAAACTACTTTTGACTTAATTTTTAAAATTAAAAAAGTTCGTTTATTCTTTCAATATTATATTTTATATTACTGTAATGTACGCGGCTTTAGGGTGGCCCAGGGGCCGCCCCAGCCGCACCTTAAACTACTGTCACTGATACTGCGAGTTTTCACCGATAGTCTGAACGTTAAATGACGCAAAATTAGTTTTGACTAAGAACGTTGGTCGGAACCACTTTTGACTACAAAAATCAGGCAAAACTGTTTTTGCCTGATTTTTGCAGTCAAAAGTGGTTTTAACCGGTTATGAGTTTTGACTGTGACATATACATAAAAATGTACGCAAAACTTCACAAAATAGAATTGATTTGTAGGTATTGTATTAATTATAATTATTTTTGTCACTTGCAAAATTGGGAGCATAACATATTACGAGTATATTTATTTACATGTTCGCCGCTAATTCTCCGCTAAACATTGTTTATTATTACCTCTAAAACATTGCCACAAAAAACTGTTCAGACATCTGAACCATCGTCTCCCTGCATGTTTCGTCAACTTCTCACTGCATCAAGTGGGCACCGTTGTGTTCAGGTATGCGAGTGTGCCGGTACAAGGTTGTTATTATTTACACTATTTACCAGCACGTATTACACCACTTCATCTTATAAGATGGGTTATCCTACTACGTATCGGACTGGGTTTTTACATAATATTTAGTATTTGCATAAATCTAATAAATCTCTCATTATTTAATTATGTGTTTTAGACAATTTAATCCCCTCGAAAAGTGTTCAGTGTGACCAGGGTTGGCCAATATTTAAATTACTTGTAATTAAAAAACGTATTTAAAATACTACGTGTTTGGTATCTGTATTTCAATTACTTCCTAAAAATGTAATTTGTAATTGGTATTTCATATACCTGACGCTAAGGTATTTTGCAGTTAGTATTTCACATTTACCTATCGCTTCAAAATACATTTGAACATAAATACATTTAGCGATCTGGACCTGTATAAAGATTTTCTTTAGCTGGTTTTATTCATTTCCCACCAAGAGGCTGTTTGACTGATAGTACCTACATTTAAAAATCTACGCTGAATTAGTTCTAATCTATTTACATAACCTAACACCTGACTGTATTTTGTAATTTGTATTTGTATATTTTAAATAAAAATAGTTAAAATACTGTATTTTTTATTTTATATTTTAAATACACGACTTAAAAATATTTTGTAATTTGTATTTTAATTAAAATAATAACGATAAAGCTTCTTAAGAAAAACTAAAGCGCCGCTCAAGGTAACAACTAGAGCGCCGTCCAAATAGTTAAAATTAAATATTCACCCCCTATATTTCTACTGTTAGGGATAGAATTTATCACCAGATTTATATAAAACCACCACTGAAGTATAAAGTATATAATAGTTTACAATTGATTAACATTTCACGTAACATACGAGTACGAGTCGAATTGAGAACCTCCTCCTTTTTTGAAATCGGCTAAAAATCACAATTTTTTTTGTAGGATAGGGTGACAAACGAGCACACAGTCCACCTGATGGTAAGTGGTTACTGTGACCCATAGACATGTACATCTATCCTCAATATAGACTCAAGATGTAGATGCGTTGTCACTCGTGAGGACTAAGATGGAATGCCTCTTTGCCAGTAAAAAGGGTCTCCGGTTCTCTACTCTCACCATACGCAACACAGCAGCGTCAAGCTGCTATTTAAAATCAGTGACTGATGTTTGAAATCAGTGACAACATCGCTAGATCACAGTCAACTGTGGCTAGACTATATTCCATAAAGACCTGTTAAGTATCTCAATGAGATTACGATATAACTGAACCATACACAAAATATCTTACTATATTATGGTTTACTTAGCGAATGAAATCTCAGCAGTTTGCAT